TACTTCACTTTTTCCTTTATTGCTTGGAGCTCTCTATTTAACACATCGGATATGTTCTTGTTCCTTGTCCGCAATGAATTAATCGCTGGAGCAACAAGTCCGTTTTCTGCAGTCCGCTTTTCGATAACCTCGGCATCGCCTTCATTGCTATCTTCTGCATTCAGGAAAGTGCAAACGAGACGGGATAGTTCAATTGGTACATGCCCAACTAGAACATCAGAGCCGCCACTGCTGTCTTTTCCATATAAACCGACCGCAAAGTCGTCATATGCTTTTGCATCCTCTCTTTTGTCGTTCTTGCACAGAAGTTTTTCCCCAATCATCGTAGTCCATCGTGCTTATATTTGATGTGATTATTTTTTTGATTTAATGGTATAATAAAACAAAAATATTTAAGGCACAACCTTCTCTGAGAAATATTTGAAATAATCGCCTCCCTCGAATAATCGCTTTCCCTCGAAAAAGTTGCCCCTTTTTGGTGAAAAAAAAGAAATAATCGCCCCCGGTTATTATTCGAGGAAATACGATAATTAGATCGTTCGCTATCAATTTCTGATAAATTTTATTTTCTTATCAATGAATCATTTTTTTTTAAATAAACAGGTTTGTATGATGAGACCTGCATTACTGCTGCTGGTATTTATCGGCCTCTTCGGTAAGTTGAAGAATCCGCTTATCATTTGCAATTGGGTCCCTCTTTTTTTTTTCTTTCAAGTAGATATATATATATATATATACATTTTTTTTTTGCTTTATTTTTTTCATTTTTTACTTTCATTTGTTTGTTTGTCGTATTAAGGATGATGTTGCTAGCTACTGCTGTTGTTGGTGTTGTTGCTATGTGATGTTGTCGTTGCCTTTGTTGGGGTGTTTTTGTTCCTGTTAGTAGTGGTAACGCAATGATTGCTGTCGTGAAATCCTACTAATTGCTTTTTTTCCTTCTTCCTTTATTTCTTTTTTTACTGCAGAGTGTTTTTCGGCGGAAGAAGATCCCAGTATTTTTATCCAGGTGACATGGGACATGTCATGGACACGACTTTGTGATCTTCTCCCAATGTTTGCGAAAAAGCTTTCGGGTGAACTTATCGAATTTAAAGAACTACAGCTCCGGAAAGTCAGTGAAAGCAGGATTCGTTTCATAAACAAGGAAACCTATTGCAGTGGTTCCAGAAGCACTGAAAACGCTATACTGTACTTATTCGTCTCAAAGGATGAAAACGATCTTAGTAATTTAGGCGTGGATAAGAATCTCACGATTCTAGCTTACAGGACTCTTTATGACTATTGGAGAAACCACAAAATGCATTTACTAGACCCCGTTTTCCTTGGAGAGGTAATTTATTCTTAATTTATCATCCATTGCGTCTAACAGGCCGTAGAGGACAAGATGTTATAATGGCATGTAATCCAATATGATCATACATGTTGACTTGCTTGCCATGTTTTGCCTGAAGCTCGTCGCCAGTATTAGGGTCAGTATTGGACAACATCTCATGACTGGTGGAAGGAAAGTGGTGGAACTGGCGAAAAATAACGAGAAGGATTTGAGACATTTCCCTGTCACGCATTACTCCCGCGTTTAGAAAGTAATCCTGACTCATCAGGACTGATTTTGCTTTACCTGGCCTTGTGATTTAAAGCAAAAAAATTCACTCTATTCTTTCCACCAATCGAGTCAAAAAAATTGAACCTACTAGCCGGCTGGCGTTTTTCTCGATTATCCCTAGGATGATGTTGGCTTAATTTAAGGACTCTTCATCTTGACTGAGTCATCTTAACTTGCAACTATATTACAGGTAACCAAAGTCGTTCTTATGGGAAAAGACAAGCCTGACATTCCAGAGCAAATGTCTGAGAGCAAAAAAATAGGGATCGCCATTGGCATTGCTCTGGTAATAGTTTTCAGCATCGCTATACTCTCTTGCTGCGTGGTATGTATGCGTCAGATGTATGTCATTCAATTTGCTTCCTGTTCCAATCTGTTCCGAGTGTTCTTTTACTAAGCATTTAGAAACACTCGTTGCATCAATAATTACAATAAGTAAACGTTATTACAAGTTGCGTCTCTGACTTGAAAACATGACACCGTTCATGTTCTAATGAGAGTTTCGATTGCATTTTTGTAAATTTTCTTCCCTCCTCCTTCTGTTTTTTCACCTTTTGTGTTGTTTTGTTTTGGTCTTTTTTTTCCATAAATCTTACACGTTTACTTCGGGTCGATATGTCTTACTTTCACTTTGTAAAGAGTAAAGGATCCTACGACAATACAGTGTACTTATTTCTGATTAGTCTGCTAGACGAAAAATTAGACGCACAACTTGGAGACCTCATCATGGCGTCCCAATTGAAGAATTTCCTGAACCTACGATATTTAGGAGAGGACAAGAAAACGGTCATCCACAGATTTATTATTCACCTAGGGAAAACTACGATCAAGAAGATGCCCAGCCAAGGGTTCATTACTCACCCAGGGAAGACTACGAGCATGACGATCATCCCCCACCAAGGGAAAATGAGAGTTGTGACGGGTATCCTGTGCAGCACCACAGGCAAGACGACGAAGACTCATTCGTAAGTAAACCTGTATTCTAATTGTGAATGCTGCTTTTGGCCATCACACGTAGAGAACTCCTAGAAGCATAAGCGATTATTCTATCGTCACCTGAGACAGTGAATCAGAATCTCCGGGTATCCTCTCTGAAAGCCGGACATTTATATCGTGATAAATAAAGTTTGTTGACGGAATTAGGCAGAAAGAGGATTCATTCACTCACTCACTCACTCACCAACTCCGAGTCTCTAAATTATCAATTTAAATTTACTCATTCAATAACACCCTTACTGACCGACAGATTGACTGACCGTGTGACTTGCTGCCTTACTGACTAACTAACTGAGTAACCGACCGACCAACTGACTGACTGACTGGCTCCTGACTGCCTGGCTTACTGACTGACCTGTTAAATTGTTATGCGAATGACTGACTGACTGACTGACTGACTGACTGGCTAACTGGTTCTGCGGGTGTCTCTACCTCAGCTAGACAGACTGACTGGCTGACTGGCTCCTGGCTGCCTGGCTTACTGACTGACCTGTTAAATTGTTATGTGAATGACTGACTGACTGACTGACTGACTAACTGGTTCTTCGAGTGTCTCTACCTCAGTTAGACAGACTGACTGGCTGGCTGGGTAGCTCCTGACCAATCGACGGATCAACAAACGAATGAAATCCCTTGACGTAATCGATTTACCAACAGACACTCTAATTCACTAGCTACCTTGAAGCACTCTTACTTGCTGCATATCACCACCACGTCAATCATAGATTTATGGAAGGCGATAAAGAAGCGAGCAAAAAATTGTTTCTACGAGTAATTGATCGGATCTCGAAATCACCGCCTATTTTATTGCTCACGCCGGATCTCATCCTCGGAGACCCAGGGGCTGTGGGTCGATTTCAAGTTAGGGCATGAAGAGCCCCTGGAGACATTGTCTTACAAGACTAGTTCCAAACGGTCGCAGTCGTTCTGCCGTCTGATTGGTGCCAGAAAATCTTTGTGTTTTTCTGCCCAANAAAGTAGCAAATTCTCTTCAGTTATTTTAAGACCATGAGTATTGGTCCGGTCGGGGCTCGAACCCTCGACCTCCCGCACAACACAATCCGGCGCTCTAACCAATTGAGCTAACCGGGGGACGGATTAACCGCCAATGAAGGAAGATCATAAGGAAATTATGACCCCTTATGGGGGGATCCAGCAGCCCTTTTCTTGTAATGGGCGCCTAGAGGTCAGATAAATTTGATCGTGACACAACTGAAATCTCTTCGTCCCCCAGGCGAAGAATAATGACTGGCCTTTACAATGCTACATTCCCTTCCCAGACTAACTGGAAACAAACTCGCAATTAAATTGCGTGACACTCAACCTCCAATTTTTGTGGCTACTGCCTTCCATAGCCAATTTTGGATTTTGTATACTGGCGGCCCATTTGAAATTTTAGACACTAATGGCTGATTTCCGAATTTGGGTACTAGTGGATGATTTTGGAGTTTGGACAGTATTTACCAATTTCCGATTGGACACTCATGGCGGATTTTGGACATTAATGACTGATTTTGGATTTTGGACACCAGTGACCGAGACACCGCTGGCCGATTTCTGATTTTGGACACAAGGGGCCTATTTTGGATTTTAGACACTAATGGGCGATCTCCGATTTTGGACACTAATGGCCGATTTCCGATTTTGGACACTTGCAGGGGACTGTGGATTTCCTCATAATAAGCGCTAGGTCGTTGTATATTTACCGCCGCATCAAGCCTAACTTCATTCTTATTATACTTGTATAAAAGTTAAAAAAAAAATTGTTCCTAAAACAACTTTAACGTAGTCAGATCTCAATATGACCTCCCTGTTATTACTCTAGGTGCTTATCAATGTTGGATGACTCTATGAAAATCTTTTTTTTTTTCTCAGCCTACCCTGTAGGGATCGCCTATGCTGTAGTAGAGGGGAACGGATCATTTTAATTGCGTTACAATGAAATTTTTCTAGTCTGCAGCGTTCTATTAGTCTTCTCTTGTTGGCCATCAATTTTTCCAGTTTCTCCTTTAAACTCTGTTAGCGGCGGAGAATCCCTCCATGGGATCCCCCAGCAATCTTGCAGCTGCCCCCCTTCTCAAGCAATGCCATAATGACTAGCCCCAAACATTACAAAGAAATTCTCTCTTTTTGATTTACAGAAGTGTGTGCGTTGAGGTAGATCTATCTATCAGCTTTAGCCTATTATGCGAATGAGAAATACACCCTGTGTTAAAACATAGTAGTTCTCTCTTCGAACGTCAACTCCAAATAGATGAATGAATAAATAGAAATCAATTTTTAAAGAGAAAAGGCTTGTTGTGCTTCAAGGACGTTATGTTTTTTAGGTTTAGTAAGGATTAACAAAATGATGATTCAACAACTGAAGACCGCTTAGCGCTCTATTTAACACGAACTAGACAATGAGGTGACGCATACTGGACTGAATAATTGACATGGCCAGGCCCTGGGAACCAAGAATTTTACCAATAGATTGGGAATGAGGTCGTCGTAAACCCCGTGACGGTCACCGAGTTGGCTGCGCTGTCAAATTAGTTTTCTCTTAATCGATTACTTGGTCAGACTCTCGGTAGGGTTCCATATACATCACGCGAACGAAAAACCTGGTTCCAGACCCCACTTAACAATTATTCAATTATGCGTGATAGTTAAACTAGATACTGTAGCTAAGGAAATTGCACTTAAAATTCTTTTGTCACTCCAAAAATTTCGTTTCCCTAATAACGTTAACCGCCACCGGCGTTTATCCCTCGCCCTCTTTTTGCTCGTCTTCTCTGACTGAGAGTCTGAAACGGGCATTTTACCAAACGAAATACAATTCTCGTAAAAGACTAAAAAAAAAAATTACACGAACAAGCAAAGTAAACAAAGAATAACACGAGAGAACACAAAATTATCATGCAGATTCAAACACATTCTTTCATTCAAGATTACAAATGTAAGAAAACATCCGGTTTCTGTTTCAGGCCGAAGCCTATACAGAAATATCAACAGGTGTGTTAATATTCAAGTCATGTAAAACCCTAAAGTCCGCTTCAGTTGACTTTATTGAGTGTTTTCAAATGTAGTCTACGGAAAAATTTCGCATGTTGTATCGTTTAATGTAAGATGGTCATATGGTTGTCAGAGGAGTTGGCGGCTAAATCTAAGAATGCTTGACATCAACTTAAGAATTTTAAATATGTATTGAATTAAGGCTTTCCTATCAGTGTGTCATTTCTTAATTTTTCTGACGACATTTACAAGGTATATTTTCAGACTCTGTTCTCACTAAAATGCAATAAAATCGACCAAAATTACGGTAGAAGTTCCAGCTTCAATCTTTGATTCATTCGTCACGGTACTGAACTACCGGAAATCTACAAGAGAGATCACTGATTAAATGATCCCGGAGTTAGAGAGTCACGAAACTATTGTTGGCGTATAAATGAAGTTTTTCTTTTTGATTTTTGTTATGAATTTTGAAGAATAAGGCACAAAGTCAAGATTTTCCCAAATAATGATAAGTTTCCGAGAAAAGTAGCATAGAACCTGACTAAATAACGGTTTGGCTTTTCAGCGATTTATGTAGTATTTCCTGTAGGCATTATATCGATCTCTCGCATTCTATGCAACAGCTGAATACCTGTAACACATCAGTGATTCATAAATAACAAGCGCATCTTACTGTCATCCATCGAGATAAAAAAAAAAAAATCGATATATATCACACAAACTGGGTTATGGGTGAATGTTGCGTTACTTTGGGCTATATTAATCCCAGCTTCAAAGGAATGCCTTCGATGACGACATCAATAAAATAATTAAAACGCGATAAATTACGAAGAAGCGCGTATAGACAGCGTCCTACTTGAAAAAGTTGCCAGCAATTTCCTTTAAATTCGTATCTCTTTCGTCACAAATGACCTTCGGGCGGTAACAACAGGATTATCACAGCAATTTCCGATACTGAGTATAAAGTTTCCGCATGATTATTAATAAGTGGGGTCTGGAACCAAGCTTTTCGTTCGCGTGATTCACAGCACCCTGCAAAGACTCCGTGATTGTATGCAAGAGAAAGGTCCTTGGAATCTATTGGGAGGATAGAAGCTAGAAAGCAGGTGATTCAAAGTAGGCGCCGTTCCTTTTTACCTAGTAAGCACTTTTTTTCACGGCCGCACACCCACGTAAGAAAACAAAACGAAATGATCACTCGTCCAAAACGCTTATCATCAACAGTTGGGTGTTGTATCAGGAAACCAACCAGGTTTCTATGTGGGAAGTCTGCCTCTAATGTCTGCGATCTAGTTTTTTAGAGGAGAATTACATCATGTATGTGGGAGCCTACTTGTTTTACGCTTTTTGTAAACTGGTGCGTCAAAGCGACTCGAACGGTTTTCTCTTGTCGCACAATACTCGCGCTATTTAGCAAGTCCTTGATAGCTACCTAGATAGTGCGTCGTGTTTTGCTTTCCAAAACGTCGATACACACGGTCATATTAGTTGATTTCATCTTTGAATTTAAGATCATGCTTTTCTGTCGGTGTAGACACAACATTTTTAAGGCAAGAGTAGCCAACAATTATCTCGGAATTAATGTTTGTTGCCTTTCCAACTTGGCCATTTTTTTGACGTGACCTTTGACCACAATAAGGAATATTTACCATATTTCACCGCTGAGGCCGTCTGAACAGATGTTTTAGATTACGTTTGAGCTGAAGGGGAACTAGCAAACAGTTTCGAACAAAGGCCCTCAAAGGTTCTGCAAATGAGGAGATAACGGAATTTTTTAATTCGTTGATCTTAGAACTCCGAACATGAGTTTAGCAAGGAAGAACAGCAGAAGTGGCAAAATTGAAGCTCCTTTGAACGCACGTAATTATTCGAACAGACGATGAATAATATGTTATCTTACAGCCGATTACTAGCCCCACGAATCACACGAAAAACAGCTACTTGAAATATATGGCTCGGAAAGTTAGGGAGTGGCTAACTATGGCATTACAGATGAAGGAATGATGTTAAACCTTAAATTTATCGCCTTAATTATAGGACTCCTATTTCACAGTCTGACGAGGACTATTCGTTTTTCCATCCTGAATTTCCGGTCTCTGCTTTGTACACCACAAGCACTTCAAGACTAGCCCAGAGCAGTCTGAATCAAGCTTACTATTTTCCCGATTTTTGTTTCTTTTTGTTTTTGTTTTTGTTTTTGTTTTTTTCTCTCTTTTCCCTTGTTTTGTTTTGTTTGTTTTTGCTATCTTCTTCCTCAGTCTTATGCCGTCTATTTTGTTACCATGAGATCACAGCATTAAATTATTGTCTGGAATTATGTGACCTCGCTTATTCGATAATTATGTGTCACACTACCGAACCAAATGTCACACAATCGGACTTTTTTTTTTCTCAAAGGTTGTCATGTTTTTAATCATCATTTTGTCGTTTTGAATTTTTTTCTTTTTATTGCCTTGTTTGCTTCTATTTTTGATTGCAATTTTTCCAACAAAAACACCTCTAAGCAACTTATCATCTCAAGGTGGGTAAATCTACAATGTTTAGTACTGATAAGAATCGGCCTTCGCAACCCGTGGGCCAAACTCGCTATTTTCCATGGGTAAGGCAGGGGTCGCACTTTGGCCTTATTTTTTTTATGTCGCGTCATAAGTTGTCCTACAAATATGTCGCGACATTTACTCCACGGGAGTCATGGAGGTCGCGCTTGTGCGACATAAATGATATTTGAAACCAGACTGTCAACTCTTAATATTTCACGCATGAAAAGAGCACCAAATAAAACTTTGTAGACACGAAGCTGGTGCTAGTTTTATTGCGACATTTCTTCATTCTCTGTTTAATTTTTTCAATGTACAAAACCTTATTGATTTGTACGCATTGTACTTTGTCACTCCAAAAATTTCGTTTCCCTAATAACGTTAACCGCCACCGGCGTTTAT